AGGGTTTAGTGAGCAGGAAGAGGCTGTGGCAGAGAGCAGTCCAGACTCAGAGGCAGGAGAGGAGAAGGGCCAGAAGATGGAGATGGTATGGCCTGCAATATGAGCAGGCCTGCAATGCTCTGGGACAGCCTTGTAGCTGCCACAAAGTCCTGATGTGCTGGTCCCGGGGGCTAACCGAGAGGCGAGGTCCGATTCCAGTCCAAGGTCGATGTTGCGGTATAGAGGCTGTCCGTCCAAAGCTGTAGCTGGGTCCAAGGCGGGGAGTCGGGTGGGGTCAGGAACTCTGGCAGAAGAGCAGGCGGGAACAGGCTAGCAACAACGTTGCTCCGGCAACCTGAGACTGGGGCTGACTGGCTTTTATCTGCCCCGAGGCATAGGGTGGCCCCAGTCCACAGGTGACTCGCCTCTCCTGGCCTGGAGGCGAGGACTCCTCCTGCAGGAACTTAGTTCCCTCCGCCTCTCTGCCCTGAGCCTCTGCAGCTCAGGAGAGGCTGGAGGGTTACCAGACCCAGAGGCAACCTCCTCTTCCCCTGATGGGGCTGAGAGTGGCGCACCTGCAGGCAATGGGTCCTCCATCACCTCAGGGGCCAGAGCAGAGTCAGCTGGTGCCTGCACCTGAGTATCCAGCACAGCTGAGGACCCTTCAGGCTCAGGCCCCAGCCCCGGCTCAGCTGGATCTGGAGGCGGGGACCCCTGTGCGGGCTGGGATTCCTAAGGTTCAGCCTCTGAGTCTGAATCCCAGGCCATCACACCTGAGCCCAGTCCTGATGTAACGCTGCAGTCCCCCAATAAAATAACACGAGGGTACTCCACCATGTTCAAGACCTCGTCCACCAGCTTAGGCAGGAAAACTATAGGGCAACTACAATGTAGTTCAATCAAATACTGAGGGGAAGGCCTTTTGAATACCTCACTGTAGTGCTCAGGCTATGGGGCATATTTGGCAGAAGAGGAAAATCCAGGCCAGGAAGCTCATACCAACAGATCCTGAAGAGCCCTCAGCATCCATCCTCATGATTGCCCATGCTTGCTTGGGCTGGGGGCAACATCTGCAGGGCCAAAGGTTCCCCAGCCTTGCTAGAAATATACAGGGACAGTACAAAAAAAAGTCTTAGATACCAGTCACCACATTTGCACCTCAGATCATGATGTCTGAACCTCCTGCTATACTTACCTGTGCATGTATATATTACAGCATACATCCACAACATTTTCCTGTAGCTCTGGATGTAGTTAACGTAACTTTTGGCAGCTGGGTATCACAAATAATGTGGTAATGAGAAGCTTGTTAACACTTATGTGGAAGAATTATTCCTGGCGGCTGCCGACATTCAAACTCGTTTAATAGACACACTGGAGTGTGTTTATTTGTTTTAACATATGGCACTGGAAAACTGATTCCGTGTTTCCTTGTGTTTTTATTTTCCATCAGGCCAAGAACCAGTCCCACCATCTGCCAGGCCTACAACAGTCTTTAAGTACTTTGAGTGTGTCTCTGTTGGAGAGTTAAACTAGTGTAACCATCATCTCCCCTTTGCAAGTAACTCCGGTCATTTTAGTTCCGTGAGGGGGCCTAGAGATCTCTAGCAGAGGATACATTGGCTGAAGCAAGGACAGTTAAGCTGGAATAAAATCAAAATTCTAGGGACGTTCACACTCAGTATGTTTGTACCATCATACCTCAAGTTACAGATGCTTCAGGTTGCGTTGTTTCGGGTTACAGACCGCCGAAACCTGGAAGTACCAGAACGGGTTACTTCCGGGTTTTGGCCGTCGCTCATGCGCAGACGTGCCAAATTGCAACCCGCGCGTGCACAGACGTGCCGCTGCTGGTTGGGGAAACCCAGCCAGATGGGCGGGGTACAAATAATAAATTATTATTATTATTATTATTATTATTATTATTATTATTAATTATTATCACGTTCACAACCCGAGCGTCCACTGTACTTGAATACTTGAGCTGAAACGCTTGTATAGTTATTCACATGAGCGTACACTCCGACTACCTGTGTACACAGTACCCGAGCTGGGCAAACTAACAAGTGTGCGTTCTTTCACGCAAACACTTGTACATGGGTAGAGACCGCTGTGTTCAGTGTGTGTGAACAAGCCTATTGTCTGCCCTCCTTTCTCCATTCTCAGGCTGTCCTTGTGTTTTCTTTTTTAAATTTTCCTATTCAGTTCTATATTTGCTGCTTCTTCCATGATCTCCAGACACCAGAGAGCGAGCTACTTTTTAAATGAAAGGGGGAAAGGGGGGGAACAGGCCCTGGAAATTCTCCGAAAGAAGACCTCCACCACATCTGGCCTCCCTGTGGCTCCTGTCTTGTGTATAATTGTGTTTTCCTAGTAGTGTCAGGGGGAAGCGGGGACATTGCTCACTTTCCGAAAGAAATGCCAAGGCTCAGGCCTGTGTGGGAGTCTTGCCATCTTCCCTGGAAGGAAGCCTGCTTGCTTCTTAATTCTAAATGCTTCTAATTCTTAGTTGTTGCTTTTTTAAGGCTAGCATATTTCAAATGGAAAGATGCTTCTTCTGGAGCCCCCTTTCCAATGTTGCTCCCCATGCATTGCTAGATCTCAGTGGTTATTTGATGGGCAGGCACTTCCTCATGCAAATTATAACTGAACCATAAGGTGGAAATCAAAATAAGGGCCGGCCCTACTATTAGGCAACTGATTTTGTGTGTCATGAAAGAGCAGGACATTTTTAGTAGTAATAAAATAATAATAATGATGATGATGATGATGATGATGTTATATTTTTACTGACAGGGCACGGGAAAAACACTGGTGGGATGTCCTGCCTCAGGTGCCAAAATAACTTGACTATTTTGCTGCCTTGGATATTACATACCTTGACTTTGCCTCAGGCGACAATGTCTCTTGAGCCGGCCCTGAATCCAAAGTATACTTACCTGAAAGTTTAACTCCATCCAAATCTAAAGGACTTATCAGAGGATGAGAGACTGTGAAATATGACATCTCTCCCCCCCTACATTTTAATACAAAGGACAAAACTCCCTCTCCCACTCCAAAAATCCACCTTGCAACTCCTGTGTCACCTTCATATTGTTTTCACACACACACACACACACACACACACACACACACACACACACACCCCGATGTAGCCAGAGCAACTATCGTCCTATCCATACAACACATTCAAAGCACATGGCTTTCCCCAAAGAATTCTGGGAACTGTAGTTTATCCCTCACAGAGCTACGATTCTCAGTACCTTTAAGAAACTGTTAAGTTGTGGGCAAACATATCAGATGACACAGCGATTCTTCCAAAGCAGCTCTTTATTTGTAAGCTGGAACAGAACTGAACTGAGGAGCTCAGTCAGCCTGCTTATATAGAGCTCCAGAACAATGTAACTGTTGCCATTTTCTAAAACTATCCAATCACTGAACGCCACTTTCGATCCTTCATTTGCATACAAACTATCCAATCACTGAACGTCATTTTCGATCCTTCATTTGCAAAACTATCTACAGTATCCCCCTGCTGGCCCAGGGTGAGAACTTCAGTACATAACAGAAACTACAGCTCCCAAAAGTCTTTGGGGGAAAGATAGTGCCTTAAACGTATGATGTTTATGCACTTGAGCAAATATGCAGTCAGCACAGTATATCAGTGTAAATTCAGACTTTCTGCAACTGCAGTATAAGCACAAGCTTCTTCTAGTTGTATTGTTTTACAGTGCAATACTATGCATATTATGGGATGCGGATGGCGCTGTGGGTAAAAGCCTCAGCGCCTAGGGCTTGCCGATCGAAAGGTCAGCGGTTCGAATCCCCGCGGCGGGGTGCGCTCCCGTTGTTCGGTCCCAGCGCCTGCCAACCTAGCAGTTCGAAAGCACCCCCGGGTGCAAGTAGATAAATAGGGACCGCTTACCAAGCGGGAAGGTAAACGGCGTTTCCGTGTGCGGCTCTGGCTCGCCAGATGCAGCTTGTCACGCTGGCCACGTGACCCGGAAGTGTCTCCGGACAGCGCTGGCCCCCGGCCTCTTGAGTGAGATGGGCGCACAACCCTAGAGTCTGTCAAGACTGGCCCGTATGGGCAGGGGTACCTTTACCTTTACCTTACTATGCATATCTACTCGGATATCTGTTCAGTTTAGTGGGACTTAATTCCAGGCAAGTGATCGTAATATTGCAGTCTAGGACACTAAAATGGCAAACGTCAACCGCAAAAGAATAACATGGCAGGGCATGTGAAATAAGACTGAGTAAACAACATTAAAATTGTTTTGGTATGAGGAGAAACTGTATGGGGGCAATATAATATTTCACATCTCTAGTAATGCTAACATGCACTGACACAAACTTCAGTTTCTCGGGGGGGGGGGCAGAGAGAGGAAGGGAAAGGCACTTTGTAGATGCTCTGAGGTAATTCTGCTCTGTTAAAAAGAGGTGTGGCTACAGATAGCAGTAAAGGTACCCTTGCCCGTATGGGCCAGTCGTGACCGACTCTAGGGTTGCGCGCTCATCTCGCTCAAGAGGCCGGGAGCCGGCGCTGTCCGCAGACACTTCCGGGTCACGTGGCCAGCGTGACTAAGCTGCAGCTGGCTTGCCAGCACCAGCGCAGCACACGGAAACGCTGTTTACCTTCCCGCTAGAAAGCGGTCCCTATTTATCTACTTGCACTTAGGGGTGCTTTCGAACTGCTAGGTGGGCAGGAGCTGGGACCGAACGACGGGAGCTCACCCCGCCACGGGGATTCGAACTGCCGACCATACGATCAGCAAGTCCTAGGCACTGAGGTTTTACCCACAGCGCCACCCGCGTCCCAACAGATAGCAGAGGAAAGTGTTAAATGGAAGTGAGGATACAAGGCCAGCGATACCTTCAAAAGATGTTTATTATTATTATTATTATTTAGGTGACACCACTGCTTGCAACTCTGATACGAGCTTTTTCTTTCCAGCTTGTAATGTTGAGGCAGATGCTATGCAAAGATTTCTCACGGCGTGATATTGTTTCGTTCACAGGCTCAGACTGCATGAAGAAAAGATAATTAAAGATCGGAGACATCACTTGAAGACGTATCCAAACTGCTTCGTTGCCAAAGAACTGATTGACTGGCTGATTGATCACAAGGAGGCCTCTGACAGGGAGACTGCAATTAAACTAGTACAAAAATTACTGGATCGTAGCATCATTCACCATGGTGAGTGGAAAGAATCAGCACATCCGAGTCCATAGCCAGAAACTATAATTAAGGGTGCAGGCAGGTCTGACCTGGTGATCGTCGTGTGTTGTTAGTCAATATGAAAGAACAAAAACCTAAATAATGATTGTGAAGATTGCTTAACAATTATAATAGCATTTATATTTGGAGTCTTTAGCATGCGTTATTTTAGGGCCAACCCAAACATTGCATTATTCACATTTTTTAAAGAAATAAAAGCCCTGTTTATTTTGAAGAAAAAGCAGCTGGAGTAAATCATCATATATATATTTAATTTTATGTTCTTTATTGAAAAATAAAAATTATAAGTGAACAAGGTAAAACAAGACAAGATGTGACAAGAATAAAAAAGATAAAATAACACCCATGTAGAAAACATTTTTAAAATAAACATTACATGATTGTTATTGTAGTTAACTTAACCTAATATAGTGTTTATAAAAATGAATTCCAAAAATCATTAAATTTGTCCATGACAAGTCTACGTTTGTACATTACATGTTCATGTGTTGCAAGTTTGTGCATATTTTCTATCCATTTGTTGAAGGGGGTGTATATATATATATACACACACACACATATATATACATACACAGTATATATGTGTGTGTGTGTTTAATTACTTAAACCCAGGGCTAGCCAATGTTTTGTTCTCCAGATGATGTTGGACTACAACTCCCATCAGCCTCAGCTAACATTTTCAGGGGTCAGAAATTATGGCAGTTGAAGCATAGCTGTCAACGTTTCTGTTATGTACTGAGTTGAATAGGATCCAAAATGCAGCAGTCTGATTGGTCCTAGAACAATAGGATCCAAAATGCAGCAGTCTGATTGATCCTAGAACAATAGGATTCAGAATGCAGCAGTCTGATTGGTCCTAGAACAATAGGATTCAGAATACAGCAGTCTGATTGGTCCTAGAACAATGCAGCAGTATGATTGGTCTGCAGGAGCCACCCAATCCAGCTCCAGATGGAAGTGAATCCACAACCTGATTGGCCTACAGGAGAATTCCAGAATTAGCCAATCATGTGCAGCCCATTGTGTAAATAACGTATATAAAGCAGATACTTTGGGGAAACTTCCATTCCTCCTCACCACTATGAGCTGAATAAAGAACATGAAATCCACTCCTGACTCTGAGTATATTTCAGTTTCCCTTTTTTAAAGGGAAATTCCCTTATTCCAAATAGGATTCCTTGCAAGAAAAGGGAAAAGTTGACAGCTATGAGTTGAAGTCCAACAACATATGGTGAGCCACATGTTGGACAATATCATACCCCATGCACAGATAAATCCATAGGTCTCTCTTACCCACAGTCTCAAAATCTGAATAAAAAGAAGAGACTTAACACTAGTTTGATAGGGGTACATGAAAGCAAAAAAGAAAATTTGCAAAAAATTAAAATAAGATGTGTTAATTAACCTAACGACAAGAAAAGAAGCAAAGGGAGCAAAGCAGAGAAAAAAAAAAAAAGGGGGCCATAAGAAATGATGAAAAACATGAAATTGCATAAGGGAGTTTAGTGAAGGAAGATAAGAAGGGGTAGAAATCTGAAGATAGTTGAAACTTATAAGACGTTTTGGATAAATATTGGACAATAGAGGAAACTGTTAAAGAGAAATATACAGAGATTTGAGTGCATAAAAGAGAATGAAATAAGTGGAAAAAAGGAACTGAGAACAGAGATAGGCTGAAGCTGAGAGACAAAAAGACCAGTAATTGATTGGCTGTGTTCACATGTAACAATAAACTGGGGTTTGTAGCTTACGATAAATGAAGATCTAGCCACTGCATGCTGCCCACTTGCTTCGACTTCACTCCTCCCCTGGTGTAAGCAGGATAAACAAACGGGATTGTGGTTTGTTGCTTCTGAACAAGATGCCATTCGTAAGTCGGCAACAAACTATGGTTTTAGGTTGGCCAGCGATCATGACTCTCTAGATAGCAACGATTCAGGATCTCATCTTTGAACGTAAGGTGGGAATTCAAGTTTAGCTCCCCTGGTTTGTTTAGCCTGCGCACACCAAAGTGGGAGCAATTGGGCAAATTGCTTATTCGTCATAAACCACAATAAGCCAGAAACCTATCATTACCTGTGAACATGGCCATTGATCACAAGATAGAAAGAGAGTCTTGGTAAGCGGTGCAAACCTATGGCGGGGCCCTGTTTGTGGATTGCCCTCCCTTCTAAGAAATGGGTGGTGTTGATTCTTATTAGTTCACAATGCAAGCTGAAAGTCCACTTGTTCACTTAGGCTTTTGTTTGGTGTTGCAGTTTAAAACAGGAATGTGTGTGACATTAACATATGAGAGTGCTGGAAGTGAAATAGTTAAACAGGTTGCCCAATCAGAACCCAGGGGGGTGGAGTCAGAGGGACTATAAAACCAGCTCTGGGAGGGGCAAAAGGAGCAGTTCGTTGGGTGGTTGGTTGGAGTGGGAGTGAATTGGGATAGAGTCTGTGGGTAGGTTGAGTTAGTGTAGCGAAATAAGCTGAGTCAGGAACAGTTAGGAGCTAGGAAGACAAGTAAATATCTGAGAGGTGGTTTAGTGAGTGAGAGCAGGTAGCGGAAGTTATAGGTCTGGATAGACACCCCGTGAATGTAATTGCCGTTACCGTTTATGGAACCACATGCTTGTTAAACTGCAATAAATAAACAGAAGTTTATGTTCCAATTTAACCCTGACTGGACTCAGTATTGTCCCAGGTAGGGCCTGGGTGGTGGCAGCAAGAAATAAAGTGGTGGCACAGGGATCAATAGATGGTGAAACATCTGGGGACCCTGTGTGATTGCCACAATGAGGATTAGATGTTATTCTGTTTCCGTGTTACACTGGTTTTAATATGTATTATTTATTTATTGTTGTATGCTTGCTTTGAGTTACTTTTGTGGGGGGGGGAAAGTAACCTATAGGTTTAATAAATAAATAAAGTGGAATAGAACTGATACTTCTTCTCTTTCAGTGTGTAAACTTTCCACAAATGACTATTTGTGGGTTACTGGAGTCAGTGTAGCGGTTAGAGGATCAGGGAGACTTAAACTTAAATCCCCACTCAACTATAAAGCTCTGTTATACTCCAGCTTAACTTATCACACAGGGCGCTATGAAGATAAAATGGTGGGGGACAGAGAACAATAAAACACCACCCCACACTCTTTAGAGGAAGGGTGGGGTAAAAATGCAATAAACTATAATCAACAGATTTTTTTTTAAAAGGTCAGTAATTCCCCCTGCCTATAAATGGCTGCGGATAATACAATAAAGTAGGAATACGTGCAGAGCTTCACAAACTAAGTTTTTTTTTTAACGAAGTACAATAAAAGGTCAATCGTTTTTGTGGTTTTATCTGAAGCCTGTTGGTTTTTTTGTAAAGAAAAACAATGCTATAGTATCTGCATCGCTTCCAGATTCATAATGATGATTACTGCAAGTTCTTGATGTGAAGTGTTTACTATTTCTTCTTCTTCTGGGTTTTGCACTTCAGTTTGCGATGAGCATAAGGAATTCAAGGACCTCAAACTTTTCTACCGCTTTCGGAAAGATGATGGAACGTTCCCACTTGACAACGAAGTGAAGGCCTTCATGAGGGGACAGAGGCTCTATGAAAAGTAGGTTGCACACAGAACGTTGACAGTGTTAGCTGCTCTTTATCGGCTTGCGTTGATTAACAACTGGAAAAATGGTCTTACATTCGTAGGTTCTTGCTGAATTGCATTATCCTTCATTAAGAACGGCATCTTCCATCTCCTCAGTTTTCCCAAGAGAAAGGTTATACTGACAGAGATGAGTCCTGAGCATATAATTAAGATTTGAAACAGATGGTTGGATGGGAGATTCTGAATATCCTGTCAGATTTATTGGTCAAATAACAGAGGAGTTTGCCACCTGCGACGAGGTCCGTGTCATATTTGCTCAGACTGAAGGGGTTGTTTGCAGCATGCCTGATTTAGGCGCAAGTAGCAAACAAGTACAACATGTGAGCTGACATTTACTGGAAATGGATATGCAAAAGGTGAACAGATTGGTCAATTCATGAGGGGTGTTGTGGTACAAAAACACTAGCATCCATGAGCAGCACACGTGGCTCTTTCAGGTGCAAGGAACAGAGTGAAATGTGTTTTTATTGTCTGACTGCGGCTAGGGATGGACCAACGTGTCAGCTTGTTTCCTCTCATGTTTCTCGTTTCCACAAACTTAAGTTCTGTCTTCTGCATTACTCTGCAATTTTTCCTAAGTCCTCAAGACAACACACCAGCATTTTAGTGTGAATTTCTTATTAACATGGCACGTTTGTATGGAATTTTGCCTAATATATGCGCTTCTGCAAAACAATTTCCCCTGAAACAAAGCATTTTTTCTGTGTTACTATTTACCAATAAACCAAAAGATACCTCAGTTCCCAAACGCCATATATAACCAACTTAAAGGTAAAGGTACCCCTGACCCTTAGGTCCAGTCGTGGACAACTCGGGGTTGTGTCCGACTTCTTCGTGACCCCATGGACCAGAGCACGCCAGGCACTCCTGTGTTCCACTGCCTCCCGCAGTTTGGTCAAACTCATGCTGGTAGCTTCAAAGAACACTGTCCAACCATCTCGTCCTCTGACGTCCCCTTCTCCTTGTGCCCTCCATCTTTCCCAACATCAGGGTCTTTTCCAGGGAGTCTTCTCTTCTCATGAGGTGGCCAAAGTATTGGAGCCTCAGCTTCAGGATCTGTCCTTCCAGTGAGCACTCAGGACTGATTTCCTTCAGAATGGATAGGTTTGAACTTCTTGCAGTCCATGGGACTCTCAAGAGTCTCCTCCAGCACCAGAATTCAAAAGCATCAATTCTTTGGCGATCAGCCTTCTTTATGGTCCAGCTCTCACTTCCATACATCACTACTGGGTGATACTGTCACCAGATAGGGGATTGTAAATCTTTAGGCACAGAGACAGAAAACAAGTACGGTAGGTCAATTGTTATTCATCTGGTCACCAGTGGTAAGTAAACATCTTCGCCAGGCCACCATGATAAATTGAATGTAAGCTGGCTGTCAGGTTTAGCGTTTCTTCCACATAAGACATGGAACACTGACAGTTTTAAGTAGCTGAGGTTTATTTCTCAATAACAGGCTTATAGCAGTCCAAGCTTCCACAACACATCAGTTGACTCGACTAGCTTCTGACCCCTCCCAAGGCCAGATATACGCCATGTCCTTCCCCGCCTTCTGCTCTAATCGCTTGCTCCGCCTCCTACTTCTTGGCGACTCAGGTGCACCCAATTCCTCCTCCTCTGGAGATTCCTCTCTGCTGGGCGTGTCCCTGACACTGGCTGTATTTTTCAGGTGGTTTCTGTTCTTTCAGGTAGTTGACTCACAACAGATGGTAAACAAATAAGTGGGCTAGTAAAACACTGAGAAGGATAGTGACTTTTTGGATTATATGTGTGAGGCAGACAGAAGAGTCGGGTTGTTTTTATTTTGTTTTCATTTTGATTATGATTATGGATTTTGTGGTTTTATGTTCTGATTTTATTCTGTGAACTGCCCTGAGACCTGCGGGTATAGAGTGGTATATAAATTCATGAATAATATAATAAGAAGAGCACGAGGAAACTGCGATAATGGTTCCTCAGTTCAAGTACAGTGGTACCTCGCAAGATGAATGCCTCGCCAAGACGGAAAACTCGCAGACGAGAGGGTTTTTGGTCTTTTGAGTTGCTTCGCAAGACGATTTTCCCTATGGACTTGCTTCGCAAGACGGAAACGTCTTGCAAGTTTGTTTCCTCTTTCTTAAAACCGTTAATACAGTTGCGACTTGACTTCGAGGAGCAACTCATAGCACGCGGTTGTGTTAGCCTTTTTTTGAGGTTTTTGAAGACTTTGGTGATTTTTGAAGCTTTTCCCAAACTTTTCCGACACCGTGCTTCGCAAGACGAAAAAATCGCAAGACGAAAAAACTCACGGAACGAATTAATTTCGTCTTGTGAGGCACCACTGTAGGATTGATGTGCTTTTAGTTTGTTGTTTGTTTTAAATTTCCCTTCTTTTTGTGTTTGTCGTCTTGTTCTGTTTTGTTTTGCAGTAGCCAGTGAAACAAATTTCCCTTGCTTTTCAAATGTCAAACACAGCAAATGGAAAGGACATGCTGTGTTTTCAATACACTTCCCTAATGCCATAGAAGAATGTTTTCATAAACAGGGAAATTGTAAGGCTAAATGGCTGTGGTTAAAGTTAGATGTTCCAACTTGGAACTCAGCCTAAAATAGATGGGAAAGATGCTCTCTGCCCAGTGCTAAAAGGCAGAAAGATCCTTCAGATTCTCTCTTCCCCACCTACGTCAAATAACAGTGTTCTAAATAGTGGCAGGGTGACCACAGAATTTTTTAATGTAAAGGAAGGCCTGTGTGTTCTCCATAGGTTTTAAGACATGCCAAATTCTACAGCAAGGAAACATGTTTTCTACGCTCAGAATAAATGCACACATGTTATGCTAGCATTAATTTCATTCATATGAACTAATATTGAATTCATATTCAATAAACTAATATTAACTAATATTTAATAAATGAATATTTGTTTCAGTGTGAATTAACTCAGTCCACCACTGATTTGTCTAGCCCATTAACTGTTATCCCAAAGTCTAAGTAAAGAGTTTTTTCCTATGCTATGTGGGCCCTTTTTAAAAAAGGAGATCGAACCTACAACCTTTCATATGTTGTAAACTGCCCTGTGGTCTTTCTTTTTTGAAGGGCAGTCCTGTTTACAAACGATTTGGTTTACGAACTCTGCAAAACTGGAAGTAGTGTCCCTGTTTGAGAACTTTACTTTGGTTTAAGAACGGAATCCAAACAGTGGAAGGGCACCAGTTGCAGGAGGCCTCATTAGGGAAAGTGCGCCTCTGTTTAAGAACGGTTTCAGTTTAAGAACGGACTTCCGGAACGGATTAAGTTCGTAAACCGAGATACCACTGTATATGCATTTTAAAACTAGAGTAAATAATAATAAAATAGTGGAAAACCAACTCAGGTTTAGTCTTTGAGTGCCAGTAAATACTGTGATAGTGTGTGTCTTTAATATAATTTTCTGTTTCAGTTAGTTTATTCCCTTTCCACACAGAGCCCCCAGGACTGCAAACTACCCATGTGTAGTCATTACATTCTCTGTTTTTTGTGGCAGTCAGCTTTCTTTTGGTTCCTGTTCTATGCCCTATCTGGTGATGTGAGGCTTTAAAGACTACACTGGATGAAACAGTCATTAGGGAATAGCTGTGTGTTAAAAGGGGAAGTAGACAGGATGACTTAACAGGCTTTTCCATTTGAAAGATTCCCATGGTGCTGTTTTATCATCTGAGACTGTACAAAATCTGCTTACTAACAGCACTTTTAAATCCACTTTGTCAGGCTACCTGCAATCACTTTGTCAAGGCAGATGAAGCAGAGCTGTCTAACAGTGGCGTAGCGTGGGGGGTGCAGGGGGGGCCGGCCGCACCGGGCGCAACATCTGGGGTTAGGGCAAATCCACAGGTTAGGGGGCGCAAATCCACGGGTTAGGGGGCACAAATTACTTGCCTTGCCCCGGGTGCTGACAACCCACGCTACGCCACTGCTGTCTAACACACAAAAATCCCATGTATCTCCTGTTATACGTTAGAGCTGTGGCTGCAGGTGGCCTTTAGCCCTTGCAGGTGGTCAGTTCAGTTCAGGATTGTGTGTGCTGTGCAGTCAGCACCCATTAATGCCACTCCTCATCCCTGGATGTGACCCCCAAGCAAACTTTTAAAGTGGGTCAAGAGTGCTTCATAACAAGAAGGTTTCCCACTCCTGCTCTAGAATGACCAAAAATTAAAAGCGGAATGGAGATGGGATCCTGCTTGATTTTTAATTATTGGGATCACTGGTGGGTGGGAACAGGTTTTGTGTGGTACTGAAGCATACACTGATGGTCTCCAAGTGTATACCCCTTGACTTCCTACAAAAGTCTTAACTAGGTCTCAACTAGGGTCAGGGCCTTTTCAGTACTGGCCCCGACTTGGTGGAACGCTCTGTCACAAGAGACTGCGGGACTTGACATCTTTCCGCAGGGCCTGCAAGACAGAGCTGTTCCGCCTGGCCTTTGGGCTGGACTCAGTCTGACCCTTGTGTTTTCCTTCCCCTTACGGTTTTTAATCCATGGACTACTTTTAAAATGAGGCTGCATTTTAAAT